TTTCTTTTGCAAACTGTATTTTTTGAATGTGAATTATCTTACACATTGAATAATCTTGCATATGTAAATGCATTAATTTTGAGACCATTTTAGCTCCAAACAACAGACCCAGTAGTGTTCATCAAGTCCTATGAAACAATAATCAGAATTGTGTATTTACTGTTTGTGTTTCAGGACGTTGTGTGATAACCTGCGTCGCGAGAGGGACCGAGCCGTGAGCGATCTCGCCGACGCTCTGAGAAACATGGACGACCTGCGCAAACAGAAGAATGATGCGGTGCGAGAACTGAAGGAGCTCAAGTGAGTCTCAGTAAAACACATACTAATATCAAAACACACACGATCACATCAGGGACTGTCGACAGTATGTGCATCTAGCTATTTATTGTGATGATGTTCAGTTCTGTTAATGATTTATGAATACTCTGAGAAAGTTTCCTGCAGCGCATTAATTAATAAATAAATAAAGTGAAGTGAAGTGACATGTGGCCAAGTATGGTGACCCATACCCGGAATTTGTGCTCTGCAAAGCTTATATAAGAGGAAATAAAGACAAAAGCAAACAGTTCAGTCAAAGTATGCTACAAAGTCAGCGCTGTACTACGGTAAAGTTCAAAATATATAAAGTTAAACATAAATTTGTGCTCAGCCAAAACGATATGACCAGGAATAAATTGCATAGCAAATTTTCAAATAGGCGCTATCTTTATAAATAAACTGCAGATTTGAGTTTTAAACAATCACATTCTCGCCTGAAATACCATTAAAACTAAATTTCATGACGCGGTTCGCTATTTTGGTACCATTCACAACTGCTTACAGTGGAAACGGACATAATTGCGTACCGTACTGTACTGTACCGAACCGTACCGCTCAGTGGAAACGAGCCATTAGTGGGAGCATATACAGGCTAAACAAGAGCGGTGCAAGAATTGAGCTTTGTGGGACTCCACATGTCATGGATGTCCACTTAAACTTATGCTCTCCTATACTCACATAATAACCATTATTAATACCAATAACCAACCACAAAAGTTGGGTGAATTTTCCTAAAATGTGTGTTCAGGGAATGCATGGAGGAGCAGCTGGAGAAGGAGGCACGTTTCCGCCAGCTGATGGCCCACAATTCCCATGACTCGGCCATCGATACGGACTCTCTGGAGTGGGAGACGGAGACGGTGGAGTTTGAGAGGAGTATGGTACGTAATCGAATCGTCACAGCTGTGACGAACCTCCAAATGAGTTCAACACCTCACCGTCTCTGATCTGACGTACAGGACGACATGGATTTGAGCGCTCTGGGTTTTGATATCGCCGAGGGAGTGAGCGACCCGTATCTACACGGGGATTATGGGATATTCGTGAGCAAGGTGGACAAAGGAAGTGTTGCGGAGGGCAGGTTAAGGTAGGCGGACTCGGCTTTCAGTGTCTCCTGTGAAACGGCCGTGTGATTCTAACTAGGGCTGCACCATAAATAGAAATGAAATTGTAATTGCGATTAAGCAGAAGCTGCGATTGTCATGCGCATCTTGTGAGTGAAGCACGGTTCTGTGATCAGTAGTAAATCTCCATCCGAAGGCCAGAGAAACTCCAAATACGCCCCACAGAAGAAATCCAGGAAATCCCTATAGCGGTAGCTGAATAAACAGAAGATTTGCTTTCATTGATTCAACGTGACTAATAAACACAGGACTATGACAATATATGATTGATCTGGGTTCTTATTATAATTATTATAATTTTCATTATAATAAAGTATATAATAATGCAATGCTATTATCACTGCTTAGAATACTATGAAATATGTTGCGTGCCTTATTCTGTTTAAGAAGCCACATCATCTCACAGAAGGATTTATTTCAAACACTCGACTGACGTTATGAAGTGATTATGGAGTAAAAACATGTTATTAAATGTGGTATTTTCACGTGCTTTCAGATGGAGCAGCATTTACT